CCTGCTGAAAAATGGATGGACTTGAGCTGGGTCCAGAGTAATATTAGCTTTATCCAGTTTACGTAAACCTTGGTCTTTTCATTTCCTTGGCAATGATGGGTATGAAGAAGAAACTTTCATGAGCCATGGAACAGTCCTTCTGAAGAAATCAGTGGTTGCATCTAAGGTCTTAAAATTGTCAAAACCATGCAGACTTTGCCAGACTGCAAAATGGTGACTAAACAAATGGGGCCAAGTGGGTAGGAGAGCAACTGAATGTCTCAATTTGGATTCTGAACTTATTTCTTATCTCAGCTCTTATCGAAAGATGCATTTCAAAGCTTGAGGGTGAAGGGCACTCAGTGAAAGGTCTTATGTGTCAGCCAGGGGCTGTATAATACATGATGACAGCCTGATGCCTCTCTTGGAGAGCTTCATAACAAGTCTGAATACTTGAAATCATCAGCTACCAGAGATGAGGTTCCAAGCAGCTACTGCCTGGCATGGTCAAAACAGATTCATGTGAGCAGGCTGCATGCTAAACCCCAAAAGTAGCAACCGAGTGGGAAGGAAAAAGGGCTGTTGTGTTCTGAGTCCCACACAAGGCTCAGACCTAGCATAAATAAGCACATGACTACTACCAGTGAAGCTTTAAAGAGAACTGTTACAGGGTTTTGATTTCTGGGGCTCTTCCTAACTTCATTTTCTGTCCTCACTGGACCAGATTCTCCAACTTTCCCTGAGTCAAAGCAGGTCCTTATTCCTACAGGTCACTGCTGACTGCACTTCATCCCACAGTCTTAAATGAAAGGTGTGAATTCCATTATAACAAGCTTATTATTATTTTGATATCCCCATTCTACTAGATTTGATTTTGTATCTGTAGATTTGTTTGAGAAATAAAAGTTTTACTCTAAATCTAGGGGGGAGGGGTGAAGAAACTAACTTAATAGAGAGCAATGGCAGGGAGCCAGCAGAAGTACATCCTATATAAAACCTAGGTGTGGCTGTTCAAGGATTGGAGGGAGCAAAGGGTTTTGAAAGGTGAGGTAAAATTTATCTTCTGATAGACATTGGGAATAGCAGTTCCTCTTTCTCTACACCCCCAACTCCATTCCCTACCTCTTTTTCAGGACTTTGGTAAAATTCAAGAATAATGAAGAATGGACTAGCAGAAAGATCCCTGAATTGGAAATTCTAGTTCTGGTTCTTCCATTAATTCTCTTCTGTGACCCTGGACAAATGATTCTGCCTCTGAAATTAGGAGGGTTGTATATTAGGACTAGCAAATGCTGCTCTGAAGTGCCCCTAACTTCAGAGGCAGAAGAGAATGAGTTGGTAGCCTTAGGAGCCTAACTGAGTTACTTCAAATCCTATATATTCCACAATATATTCTTGGAGCCTCTTTTATCTTAAAAAGTCATGCATAATTTGCATTCTACTGCATAACATGTCCATTAAAATTTCTTAAATGTTTTACTTTTAAAAAGAGTATCATTTAGAAATATGTAGTAAAATATTTATAGATGAAATAATATGATGTCTGAGATCTGATTCGCAGTAATTCTGGCAGGGAAAGGGTATAGCTAGAGAAACAGAAAAAACAAGGTGTCCATGAGTTGCTGCTTGTTGAAGCTGGGTTATGGTACCTGGGGGTTATTACACCATTCTATATACTTTTAAAGAACACCAAAAACAAAAAGGAAAATCTTAAAACAGCCATAGAAAAAGAATAGACTACTTACAAAGGAACAAAAATTAGAATAACAGTAGACTTCTTATTAGCAACAAAGAAGGCCAGAAAATAATAGTACAATATTTCAAAGTGCTGAGAGAAAATAATTGTTGGACTAGAACTGTGTCACTAGTAAAACTATCTTGCAAGAATGAGGGTAAGAAGAAATCATTACAAACAAACAAAAACCTAGAGCACATACCGTCAAGCTACCAGCACTAAAGAAACTTTGACAAGGTTTACTTCAGGATGGAGAAAAATGGTCAGAGACATAAAAAGGAATGGTGAGCATGTAGCATACTGTGTAAATCTAAACTGTTTGTATAGAATAACAATACTAATCATAGCATCTAAGTTATGGGTTAAAAACGAACTAAAATATTGGATAATAAAAGCCTATAAATTGGGAGGAATGGTAATTGGAATTTATGTCAACACAGAAGGGATAGTTAAAATATTTGACTTTAAACTCTGATAAGCTCAATATGCATGACAAAAGTCTACTTTTTGATATCTAGTCTGCAGCAACACTAACCCCTGTATAAAAGGAGGCCTATATAAGAGTGTTTATGTTAGCATTGTTTGAATAGCAAAAAATTGGAAACAACTTTTAAATTATCAAGGGTTACAGGAATGCAATAGATCTGTATATACCAAAATACTAAGTGGGAAAAAAACAAGTTGCAGAAACTGTTTATATAACACATATAATACATATCACACACATATAATATATAACATATATATTTATTCTCTGTGCACACACAAAAAGAATATAGGACTATATAGCAAACAGGCAAGGGAAGAGAGAAAAAAGCAAGACTTGGGTGTTAATAGACAGATAATGTGTTGTTTTATTTTTCAGGGAATATTCATGTATTTTTTCTATAAACATAAATTAATTTTAAAATACTTTAATGCAGTAAAAAAGAACACAAAACTGCAAGTTCTTTAGGGGGGCAAAAACTGTGACTGCCTTGAACACCACTGCAGTACAGGACTTATAGCACATGATAAATGTTAAGTGACAGTAATGTTTTTGTTCGCAGTGTTTTTATCTAATTAGTATGACAATGGATAATTTGTGTTCTTCCTCTTCTCTCTATTTTAAACTTTTATATGTAACATTTACAATGGTAAAAATAAATTTTATTTAAAATAATGAAACGTCCTTAAGGAATTTCCCCTTCCTCCTTTCTATCTTGCCCCAGCCCCTTGTGTAACCTAGAACCCTGGTACAAGGCCCAGACTCACCATTCTGTAACAGCTGCACATCATCCTCATGTATATTATTCATGTTTATCTTCTTAGTTGTTAATCCTAAAGACAGAACAGGTGTAAAGTCTTTCCAGAATTCCTGGACCTTTGGGCCATCCCTTTCTCCAGGCTCAGTGGTAAACAAGGAAATTTGTAAACCAGATCTAGCAAGGAGTGTCTAAGAGATGCTTTGCTGCCTAGATGTCAGTGTCCTAATAAAAGAACAACCCTCAGAGCAGCTGTGACCCTGAAAAATATTGTCAGCAGGTAAAAAATGGAACATGAGCCAAGGATGTTAAACTTCATGGGGTTCCTACAAGGGCACGAAACAATTAATTTGCAAAAATAAAATATGCACTGGCAATAAACACAGAAAAAATATTTAACCTCACTGCTGATAAAAAATACTAAAACAACAAGCTTCTCTTTTTCACCTATAAAATTGGTAATGACTTTTAAAACATATTATCCAGGACTGACAAATGTCTGGAGAAATGGCTACTCACAACAGAAAATGCTTCAACTTTTTAGAGGGCAGTTTGGCAGTATGAACCAAAATCCTTAAAATTTTGCATACCCTTTGGGCCCAGCAACTCTACTTGTTAAAAAATTTATCTCAACAAAATAATGATGACATGCAGAGATTTAACCACTGCGTCCCTGCTTATAAAAACAAGAGATGACACAGTCTCACTATTCAAAAATAAGGACTGGTTAGTTTCATAAATCCATCTATACAATAGAATTAATATTATGCATTCATTAAAAATAATGTTGAAGGGTATGTAATGCATGTATATGAGATGCAGGAAACAGTGTACCAAAGTTTGCATTTGTTAAAAAATGCATGTACTGTACGTATGAGAGAGAGAGAGAAGTATATTTTTAAGAAAAAATATCTAGAAAAAAATTCTAGGATGTTAGCAGTGGTTAAATCCAAATGGTGGAAGTTCCGGTTTTTTGTTTTTGTTTTATTATTATTATTATTATTATTATTATTATTATTATTAGCCAATCTGAATATTTTAGGCTGTTATTGTAGTTTAAAGAAAAATATTTGGAAAATCCATGGGGTTCCAGTGGAAGCAATAGTTTTTTCCCTTCCAAATGTATATGGTTCTCTTCCCCACAAAGCAGCATGCAGACAATGTGGGTAGATGCACACAGAACCAGCACAAAGACACATAGCCCACTCTTCTTCCCCAGGCCTCTCTAAAACAGAATTTGAGGTCTGGTCGCAGGACAACCTCTCTAATCAGGTCAGAGCTAGGGAGGGAGGTGACCAGCTTCATCATAATAGGTTTTGGCTTAACTCCTTAGCAGAAAGTCAAAGAGGGCTTCCCTGCTGAAGACAAGGGGGAGGGATGGACAGGAGGGACCATCTTACCTATGAAATTGACTGCAGCTGTTCTCAGAAAGGGCCAAGGGCTCTTCAGGAAGCCAAAGTTTTGAGACAGCAACTCCCCCAGGAGCTGTTTTTTGCATGTGCTCACCTGTAGGGCCAAAGAGAAGTAGTGCTGACGAGGTGAGGTGTGCTGTTGGGAGCTCTACAAAAGACCTTCCTGCAGCCATAGCCTCTGACCCTGTCCACAAGCAGCAGCATTTTCTGCCTTCAATCAGCTTAAACTGCATGAACCTGTACACTCAGATGCCTCTACCCCAGCAACAGTGCAGACTCAGCAGAAAATTCACAAAGAGAATTTTTCTCCTTGGTACCAACAACATGAGAAGGGAGAAAATGACTGGTGTGGAGCCAGGGCACCCAGGTTTGAATCCTGGCCCTGACACTGACTGGCTTCAGTTTTCTCATCTGTAGAGGTAAAATAAAACTTGCCCAGCCTCCCTTACATAATTATACAGCTCCAATGGGATAACAAATGTAAGAGTGCTTTGTAAACTATAAAGTGCTCTATGTCAGGCATCAAAATTCATAATATTAGAATTACTCATGTTAGTTCCTAACCTACTTGCTTAGCTCTTATATGTTTGCTTTTCAACAAGGATCCTTGATTTCTGGCCTGTTTTTGACTTCACAGGAGCCACAGACCCTTAACACCATGACCTCTGATCTAAAGCCCTGATGACTCCTGCCTACATCTCCTCCTACCAACTCTAACCAGAAGGCCTCTGTACCATTGCCATCTACTACCTTGCTTTGCACGATGTCTCTAGCCCCTGAAGGCAGAGATTGAGGTACTAGGAGAGCCAAATATGGAGAACCAAGGACTGGAATCCCAAATGTGGATTCTCAGAGTTCAATGATGATAAAGAATGGGAATAAAAGAAAGAATACATTTTCTGTCAGCCCTCTCCTCTTTACCCACCTGGCATGCCATTGAGTCCCTATCATGAATATTGTGACCTGGTTTCCTCAGAGACTCTCACTCACCATGTACTTGCATGTTTCTTCCAACACCTGCATGTGATCACTGAGGGTGGTATGCTGGAACATCTGTGTGAGTGATGACCAGCCAATCACTTTAGTCCACTCAGTCAGGGCCCCTCCACAGGCCTATGGAAAGAAGAGAATCACCAAAGCTTTGCTCCTATAACTCTGCAGAGCCAGGCCCAAGGCTAAGTGGAAGACCACGAAGTTAGGCCCCAAGGGCTAGTTAGTAGCTGGGATCAGGTGAAACGTGGGACCTTGTTCATGACAAGGAACATAAACAGCTTCAAGGAGCAGAACCATATCAGGAGAAGACTGATGGCACCCAAGAGAGGATAAAAGTGCTCAGAGCCAGCCCAGAGGATAATACCAAAGAGGTGGATATTGAATGCACGGCCAAGACTGGGCTTATGAAAGAGCCAAAGTGAAGGGACTATGTATGCTCTAGCAGAAAGGAATTGAATCAGGCTGAGATTGGCAGAACAGAGGTTACCAGTACCTTGACCACCTCGGCGTTGTTGTCCTGAAAGCTTAGCAGCAGCGGGACTAAAAAAGTGTAGATCTCTTTTCGGAGGGTGGATCCAGGTTTGAATTTGTCAACTCGGTATAGCATGTGGCCCAAGGCAGCAGTGGCTGCGATCCTCACCTGGTCCCTCTCCTGCCACGAAGAGCAAAATGGAGATGAGGAAGCTATGTTTCCCTCTGGCCCTGCCTGACCTGGCTTCCATACTCCCACGTCTCATTTTCCATGTCCAAAGGACACTGATGGCATTGTGTTTACATACTGTAAAGGCAACATGATTTGTGTAGATAAGTAATTCTCTTTAGCACCCTGGAGCTGATAAGTCAGTTTGTTAAGACATAATACATAGTTTCAATTCTACAATGGACCATATCTACAGCCTGTAACTTTATTCTCTTCTGAAGATTTAGTTCAAGAATGTCAAATTTAGGAGTGATGTCAGAAACATGGTAGAGTGAGAGATGTCCCTAGATCTCTCCCCCTGATACAACAATAAGATGAACATCTAAAATTCAACAAAAACACCCAACCTGCACACAGGCACATCTAGGTGTAGAATCTACACATAGGAGCTAACACAGGTGAGAACCCTGGGAGCTGGGTGGTAGACTGGGAGAAATAAAGAAAGCTGCCTGTCGTAGCAGAGAGGGACAGCAGAAAAGTGCAGATGACAGAGAAACAACAGGTGATTATTACCAGCCATGGTTACAAAATGTGTGAAGCTGAGCCACAGCCCCATCCCCCAATGCAAGGGGCCCCTCCCCCATATCCTCCAACACTGAACACCCCAAGGGAATCTGAGCAAACGCAACTGAAACTGAAGACTGAAGGTAGCAAGTGTGACTGTTTATTAATAATAATTTTAAAAAGGCATTCTTAAGACTTCATATAGAGCAAGGATCCAAGAGGCTTGGATGCCACGTACTTAAAACCAAAAAAATAAAATGCCATCTTAGCAATAGGCTAAAGAGAGATCTTTATATAATAAATCTTTCTGGAAAAAAAGCAGAATACACTTCCACTAATGCCCAGGCAGAGAAATAGTCCATTAAACACCATGAACAACCCAGGTGACAAGGCAGCTCAAAAAGAAAGAGAAAAATCTCCAGAAAATAAGCTTAAAGACATGGAAATATATGACTTAAATGACAGAGAATGCAGGATGGTACTTCTGAAAAAACTCGATGAGATCCAGAATAATTCATATCAACAATTCCAGGAATTGAAAAAATAGCTAGATCAGCAGAATGAGTTCTTCGGCAAGGAAATTGAAACCCTCAAAAAGAACCAAATAGAACTTCTGGAGATGAAGAACACACTGAAAGAGATGAAAAATGAAATAGCAAGCTTGGGAAATAGAGTCAATCAAATGGAGGAAAGGGTCAGGGATATCAAAGACAGAAATCTAGAAATAGAAGGAAGAAGAGAGAAACTGAAGAATGAAAAATAATGGAAGAGAAATACAAGAACTAGCTGATACCATCAGAAGAGGAAACATAAAAATAATGGGCATTCTCAAAGGGGAGGAAAAAGAGCAGGGATTAAAAGTATTTTCTGACAAATAAGTGATGAGAATTTTGCAAGTCTAAGGAATGAGCTAGAGCTTGGAATTCAAGAAGTGAACACCCAATTATCTCAACCCAAGAAGGCCTTTACCAAGACACATTGTCAAAAATCAATTAAAATTATCAAAAATCAATGAAAAAGAAAGAATTCTCAGGGCAGTCAGCGAAAAGAAGACAGTAACCTATAGAGGAAAACCCATTAGATTATCGTCAGACTTCTCAGCACAAACCTTACGAGCCAGAAAGGAATGGAATCAAATATTCAAACTATTAAGTGAAAGGAACTACCACCAAGAATAATGTATCCAGCAAAGCTCTCCTTTAGATATGAAGGAGAAATAAAGATCTTTCCAGACATACAAAAATTGAGAGAATTCACTATGAGGCCAGCATTACAGAAAATACTGAAAGGGGTCAGCTCACCTAAAATGAAACGACAAAAAAAATAATAATAATAATAACTATGAGTAGAGTGACTAGCAGGCAGATAGAAGCAGAGAAGTGCAACTCTTATTAAGAACGGGCATTTTAAGCTTAAACAACAAAAAGATTTGCTATTGCAAGATAATAATGAATCTTCAACATACATAGAGACAAAGTGAGACAACTATAACAGAAAAGGGGAGGATTCAAGGATCCAAATTCACAAAGAGGAATGGAGATAAGACACACGTAGAAGAAAATGGACAACTATATATATATATATATATAACTATCCTTTTCATATTCGTAATGGTAACCATAAACCAAAGATTCAGAACTGAAGTATATAACATAAAACAAGAAGGACAGAGGGAAAATACACAACCCCCCCAAAAAAAAACAACAACAACAACAATAACAACAAAAAACCAGACACATTGTACAAGGAAGCAATGGAAACACCGAGCTACCAGAAAGCAAAAGACAAAATGGCTATAGGAAAACCTCATATTTCAATAATCACCCTAAATATAAATGGACTGAACTCACCAATGAAAAGGCACAGAGTTGCAGATTGAATCAAAAAACAAAACCCAACCATATGCTTGCCTCCAGAAGACACATCTCAGTTCCAAAGACAAATATAGACTCAGAGTGAAAGGTTGGAAAGTGATATTTCAAGCAAATGGCATTCAGAGAAAGCGAGAGTAGCTAAAGAAAGATACTGAGGGACACTTCATAATGATAAAGGGAATCGTACACCAAGAAGACATAATACTTATTAATATATATGCTCCCAATCAGGAAGTCCCAAAAATACATAAAGAAATTACTAACAGAACTAAAGGGAGAAACAGACCAAAACACTATCGTGGTAGAGGACCTAAATACCCCACTGTTAGATATGGACAGATCATCCAAACAGAAAATCAATAAGGAATAACATCCTTAAATGACACATTAGACCAACTGGACATAATTGACATTTACAGAGCCTTTCATCCCTAAACAGATACTTATACATTCTTCTCTACTGCACAGAACATTCTAAAGGACTGACCACATACTGGGACACAGAGATAGCCTCAATAAATATAAGAGGGTTGAAATCATACCAACTATATTCTCTGATCATAATGCTTTGAAGCTGGAGATCAACTATAAAAAGAAAGCAGAAAGAACCACAAATACATGCAGATTAAACAACATGCTACTGAAGAATAACTGAGTCAGAGAAGAAATAAAAAGGGAGATCAAGAGATACATAGAAACGAATGATAATGATGGTACAACATATCAAAACTTTTGGGAAACGGCAAAAGTGGTCATAAGACGAAAGTTCATATCATTACAAGCCTACCTCCAAAAACAAGTACGAGCCCAAATAAATAACCTAATGCTTCATTTTAAAAAACTAGAAAAAGAACAAATGAAGCCTAAAGTCAGCAGAAGGAAAGAAATCATAAAAATTAGAACAGAAATACCTATTCTCCTCAACTCTTCCAAAAAATCAAAGAGAAGGCAATACTTCCCAACTCATTTTATGAGGCCAATATTACCCCAACACCAAAACCTGGTAAAGATAACACAAAAAGAAAACTGCAGAACAATATCTCTCATGAACACAGAGGCAAAAATCCTAAATAAGATACTAGCTAACCAAATAGAGCAACATATTAATAAGATTATACACCAGGATAAAGTAAGCTTCGTCCCAGAGGCATAGAGATGATTCAACATACGCAAATTTCTTAATGTGATACACCACATAAACAAATTAAAAATAAGAATCATATGATCATATCAATAGATGCAGCCTTGCCTTCGACAAGATACAGCATCCATTTATGATCAAAACACTCAACAAAATCACTATAGAAGTACCTTAACATAATAAATGCCATCTATGACCTCACCCAATATATGACAAACCCTCAGCCAACATCATACTTAATGATGAAAAGCTAAAAACCTTCCCTCTAAGATTGGGAACAAGGCAAGGCTGTCCATTATCATTATTATTCAATATAACATTGGAGGTCCTAGCAAGTGCAATCAGACAAGAGAAAGATATAAAAGGCATCCAAATTGGAAATGAAGGAGTCAAGCTGTCACTATTTGTGGATGACATGATTCTCTATATAGAACACCCTAAAGACTCCACAAGAACACTACTAGAAACAATAAGTAAATACAGTAAAGTTTCTGGATACAAAATCAATGTTCAAAAATCCATAGCATTGGGGAGGGAAAAAAAGGCATAGATGTTAGAGGCTCTGTTCATCACTCTGGCAACCACATCAAAGTTGTGATGGAAACCAAGAGCAGCAGCAAGGAAAAATTGCCTGAGATCTAGAGGAACAAGCCATACAACTAGGGAGAAATCCAAGAAATCACCCTGCAACAGCAGAAGGTAAGACGGGGCAAGGACGCAGGGCTGCCCAGTCTCCAGTGGCTGAGTGAGACGGAGGCTGCATCAGCAGCAGACTTCTCTTTAAAGGGGCCATGTCTGCTAGCAGATTTTCATGTTGACGGACCTGCATGCTCTGAGCACCAATGCCAATTCAGCTGCGCGCAGTGGGCACCGGAGACTTACAGAGAGACATTGTCAGAATGAGGGCCGAGGCAAGACTTGCTCTGTACAAAGTGCCAGCAGTATCCATTATTCCCTGTTGAGCCCTCCCTGCTTCCAGTGCACAGACACAGCACTGCCCTTGCCATGATGTTATCAAACTGGATAACAGAGGTAGCTCCGCCCAGAGGATTCCCTGAAACCCTGCCTC